CCCCAGTCGACCCCCGCCGGCCTTGTCGAGGCGGCGGCGTTTGACACCGCCGACGGATTGTATGACGTGGTATGGTCCGAGGAGAATGAGAATATCCTCGTGGGGGCCTGCGGCGACGGCAGCATCAAGCTGTACGATCTGGCGGCGCCATCGCAGGCCAACCCGCTGCGCTCTCTGCAGGAGCACCGGAGAGAGGTGCGCCGGCGCCGAGGGCGCGGGCACCCGGCACGGTGCGGCCCGCGTGCACGGCGCGGCGCAGGCGCAGGGCGGCGGCGGGCGGCGCTGCATGGGGGGCGGTCGTGCGTTTGCCTTGCTGAAGCGAAGACCGCGGCGCCAGTCCCGCGTACCAACTCTGCCTGCAGCGTTTGGCCTTAAAATCCGAAAGCCCGGCGCAACTCACACGATTTAGCAACGCCGCAAAGTCGAGTGCCTCAAAGTGCATGCATGTCAGTGCATTCGCATGCTCACGCAACACGCAAACACAAAAACACGTAAGTCATATGCTTCCACGCAAAGCGAACCTCTTCCCTCCACCCCCGAAACCGCGGACCCGCACACCCCCAGTGCTGCTGCGTCAGCTGGAACGGGCGGCAGCGCGACCTGTTCCTCTCCAGCAGCTGGGACGACACGGTCAAACTCTGGTCAACGCAGCGGCCCGGCAGCCTGCAGACGTTCACAGGCCACACCTACTGCGTCTACCACGTCGCCTGGTGCGCAGGCCGGGGCCCTCGCTGCCGCCGCCGTTTTTAGGTTTTCGACATCTGGGGTTTGGGCTTGAGGTCTTGGGGTTTGCGGATCTGGGGATGCAGGGACGGCCCCTGCGGCCGTTGTCCAGGGAGGCAGGAGGCTGGTCTGCCGAGCACACCTGCTTGCATCTGCCCTGGGCGCGACCCTGGCAGTCGTCTCAGCGGCTTTGGCGGTTTCCTGATTGGTGAAGCCGGCAATGTTGGTTGTTGTGGGTCTCATGGCTTGAGGGATCGACCTAGGGTATGCTGCTTGGTCACGCCAGCTGCGACGGCCGCACGGCCTGCTGTTCGCACGCACGGCGGACGGCCGCTCGTTAGTTTGGCCGGTCAAAGGCACGTGCACTGAGTCTCCCAGGGCCTGGCGACACTGTATTCCCCGCTGCCTGTGTAGAGCCGCTCGAAAGTGCAGCGGGGGGCATGCTGGCGCCAGGAGAGTTTTCAATGGTTGGTGGGCGCACTCTGCAACCCCCACCCCGCCCCGCGTCGCTTGCATGCACGCATGCACCAACACCCACACACACAATCTCTCACACACTCAGATTTAGGAACACACACACACACACACACACACACTCAATCACACGCACACACAATCACACACACACACAATCACACACACACAACACACACCACAGGCACTCCTATATATACACACACATATCACACACCACACGCGTAGCACACACACAGCACACATCACACACACACACACACACACGCCCTTTCCTATCCCCCCAGGAGCCCCCACCATTCTGATGTGTTCCTCTCAGCATCCGGTGACACCAGTGTGCGGCTCTGGGACCTGCGGCAGCCATTACCCACTCTGCTGCTGCCTGCGCACGCATTTGAGGTGCGAGGGGCAGCTTCAACATGCAGGGTCTGCTCCAGAGGGGGGGGGGGCGGCGGCGGGAGGGCGAAGACAGGGCGCCGCCAGCTGGCGGGTGGCATGGGAGCGGGGCTGCTGCCCATTCTCGGTTGTCGCTCTTTCTACACATTTGCTCAACCCCCATGGCCACCCACCCACCCGCACACATGCACCATCCTCGACTCAAAGGCGTCCCCCACTTTTCCCCTGACCCACGCAAAACGTCACTGCCCCCACCCCCTGTCAGCCGCATGCCCACCCCGCCCCCCTCGTCTCGTCAGCATCAGACCCCACACCCCCACGCGCATGCCGCATATGAGCAACCCCTGAACCCCAAACCCCTAAACCCTGACGCCGTCCACACCCGACACAGGTCCTGTCCGCTGACTGGTGCAAGTACAACGACTGCATCATAGCCACGGGGTCGATAGACAAGTCCATAAAGATCTGGGACGTGCGGCAGCCGCAGCGCGAGCTGGCGACGCTCCTGGGCCACAAGTGAGCCCGCGGCGGCTTGCGGTCAGCGTTCCAGTGCGGCTCTTGGTCGCGCCGCTCGCGGAGGCATCGTTCGGCGGCGCTGCACATCCTGTGCACTGCAGCGGCCCGCCCAGGCTCCCCCGTCACCCCATCCCACACCCCCAAAATACTTCCAGCCTCCTTTGAAACCGCCAGCTCCACACCCTTGATTCGCTCATCCGCGCCCGCTGCCCCCGGCCCCTCCAAACCTCTCGACCCCGCAAGAACCCTGAGCCTTTGGCCAATCATACCCCAAAATCCCCGATTTTAAAACCCAATCCCCAAGACCTCTCCTCATCCAACCTATCCAAAGAATTCCCTGCTCGCCCCCTAAACCCTCAAACCGCAGCTACGCAGTGCGCCGCGTCGTGTTCTCGCCCCACGCGGAGAGCGTCCTCGCCTCATGCTCCTATGACATGACAGTCCGCCTGTGGGACTGGCGGGCGGGGGCCGGCATCGGCGGCGGCGGCGGCGGCGGCGCGCAGCTGCGGGCGTGGGACCACCACTCGGAGTTTGCTGTTGGGCTTGACATGAGCCTGCTGCAGGTGTGCGTGTGTGGTGGTGGTGGGGGGTCTAGGTGCGTTTGGGGCGTTGGGGGCATTCAAGGTGGGTCTAGGGTTGAGGGGTTGAAGCAAGGGCACTTGGAGGGCCGGCGCGCTGGGCTGGGATGGCTGGGGGGAGTCTTGACTTGTCCATGGGTGATGTTTCTGTTACTGCCCGCGGTTCGAGGGGCCTGCTGTCGTTGTGTTGGCAGGGCAAGGGCTCCCACTCCCCTCGCTCCCCCCTCTCCCTCGCCCCTCCTGGCCAGCCTCACTTACTGTGGGACCCTTTGCATCCAACCCACGCCCCGCCCCCACCCCACCGCACCAAACCAAATCGACCCGAATTCATCCCACAGCGCTCCCCCCACAGCGCCACACCCCAACCCACCTTGCCATGCCCAGCCCCAGCTCATCAACCCCAGCCCGCCCTGCATCTCCCAACCCCATGCGCCCCCGCAGGAGGGCGTCATTGCCAGCAGCGGCTGGGACGAGTGGACCAATGTGTGGCACATGAGCGGCGGGCCGTGAGGCCGGACGAATCAGCCGAGATGTCACTCATGTGTACATAGCCAGCTTTAGTGCATAAAGGGAGGGCCGACTAATAGGCTGGACGGCGGCGCATGCGCCCCGTCGCGTCGAGTGTCACTTTTCGTACATGTGCGTCACTTGAATCCCCGCCCGCATAAGCGCAGGCGCCACGCGGCCGCCCCACCGCCCGCCGCTCGCTGCACGACGGCGCTCGCCGCGCCCCCCGCCTCGGCCTCGCACACGCTCGTGGCTGCGCGCCGTGGCCTGCGCATGCGCAACCTCTGAGCAGTGGCACGGGCTGCCAGGCTCCAGAGTGGCACCCTGCCAAGCGCCGCTGCCGCGACGCACCTGAACCGCCCCTGCCCCCCAAACCGAGGCCGCAATCCCCGCCTCCGCCCCGCCCCGCCCTGCCCGATGGCTTCTTGGCGCCCAGATCTTTTTGGTTGTTCCGGCCGCGGCGGTTGTAAATGCAGCTCGCACACGTGCTTCCCTGTGAGCACCGAGGGGCGTTGTTTGTCTGACCCAGTGGGCCCCGCCACCAACAATTGCATCCTTTTGGATCCAATCCTTTTTGGAGCCGCAAAGACAAAGGTAGACTGACGATGCACGCCACCACCTCTGCTTACTAATTGCGCTTGAGCAGTTGTGATCACATGCATAAGCGCCATCAGGGTGGCGCTCACACCAAGGGGCCCAAAACAATCGGGGTTGGCGCAAAAAAGCCATGAAACCGCAGGACATTATTGTGCGTGTTAATAAGTGGGCTAGAAATCCGGGGGCGGGCAAAATGGACGGCGGACCCTCCCGTGTCAACGGCCGGACGCAGGCGTCCCCGCCGCGTGCCAGCATTGACGGCGGTTTGAGCGGCGGGCCGCGCCGTTGGCGCCCCCAGACACGCGGCCCCCGACGCGAGTGCGCGGGCTCGTGATAAACCCCAACACCGGGAGGCGTGTTATGTTGGTGAACCTGGCAGTTGCCTGCCTAAACCGTACATGAGCTGGTTCCGACCCATTTGGATCCATACATGTGATCATGGACTAGAAGATGCGCGTGCTCTTGATGCTCAGCAGCTCCACATCCACCTCAACGGTTGAGTTGGGGGGCAGCTCTGGGG